ACTAGCATCCACTGTTTGAATGACCGATTTAATACATGCTCATCCCTACCTCCATGCATGGCATCCAGTCTGACATTAATGTGATTGGCTCCTGAAAGAAGCTCCTTCAATGCAGCAAAGTCAAAGATCCCCCTTAGCATCTCTGCATAGTCATCAACTGAGTCCACAATCTCCACTGAGATAAATCAAGAGGGAAAAGCAAAGTTGGCACACAAGTCCTGGTACAAATCACAGCAGTACATGAAATTACAAAGCAACATGTATTCTAGTCTATTCATATTGAATAGACTAGAACATGTGTTTACAAAGAGAAGAGAGTTCAAGACGTTGGTATTAATTTAACGAATTCTTCATCTTTGAGTTAAAGATAGGATTCTGCATCCGTGGGTCTGTTACCTGTGAAGGGCTTGAAAGTGTCCACTTCAAAGGTCTGCTTGCCAATCTTAGACAAATCCACTTTGAGGTCTGGGCAGATGTGATACTCCTGCAGGCTTTTGCTGATCTCAAATATTTTATTTGTGATGCCTTCTGGAGCAGGTCCTACGGACAAAGTTAAACACTGGTTAGAAACCAGGCAATGCCCAAATATGGAACATTGAGCAAACTATGACTTGGACTATAGTGATTAGAGAAACAGTGGGTCTGTGCACTTGTCTCACCTCCGCTGGAAATGTTGTACTTGATGCCAAAGTCTCCATTGGGGCCTCCGGGGTTGTGACTGGCTGTGAGGATGATGCCACCCACTGCTTTCCTCTTGCGGATCACACAGGAGACTGCTGGGGTGGACATGATGCCATTGTGACCAATCACTAGGTGATTTATCTGCAGGCAGGAACAGATGCACACGTGCAAATTAATGGACACAGGCAAAAGTGTGTGTTTGTTCACAGCTCCAACCATAATGTAGAAGTAATAATGGTACTGATGCTCCATGCAAAAGACTAAATTAAACACCTTTTCCATTGACTAACCTTGAGAAGGTTATCCACACCTTCCTCCAACATCCATCCTGAATTATTCCAGTTTTGTTTTTGTTGTTTTTTTTTTTTAATATGTCAGATTTTGCAAATCATTATTGGAGCTAACCCAAAACACTGCTGCTGGATGACAGCTTGAACTTATTTTACCCATCTTTGCACCATTATACTGGGTAGCTGTGCATTTTATATTTCATTATAAATTTTGTTTACATGCAAGAGCTTGCATGGGCTCGCCCCTGACTATGTTATTAAACTTTTTACAATAGTATTGCCCAATACCAAGTGGTTAGATCAGCTGAACAGCAGCTGTGAGTAGCACCAGACTGGCTCTTACAGCCAATATTAGGTCCTCTAACACACTAAGGGTATTCAAATCTGAAATCCCGAGCCGTGTACCAGTTTATTAATGAGTGATGACTCTACGCTATAATGAAACTCAGGTTTGACAAAACTGCAAGATGAGCTGACGAGTTCTATTTGCTGCTTTCAGCTGGCTATAAAAGTTTGTCCCTGTAAGACCCTCAAAGTGAGAGATATGTGTGCATTTATATATGTTTTAAATTCAGTAAGTGCAAATCTACAGTGGCCCTGAGAGGTCAAACATACTGCAACTTGAGAAAATATCAGCAAATAGGAAAAAACAGTTCACAAAACACTACAGGAGTGATTAAGAGGAGACAATAATGTGCATGACAAGTTGCTCTAAACACCTAACAGAAAACATATATGCAGTATTAAATGAATCATGCGATTGAAAGACATTAGCTCGAGTCTTTTTTCCAAAGCACAACATAGATGAATCCTCAACTTCTTTTAAGTTCATCTCGGTACATTCCTTCACATGTTTCAGTTTTCTGTCACCTCTGTCGTTTTTTTTATTCAACTTCTATTGTGTTTTGTGTACTTTTGCAGCATTTTTTTATATTGTATTGTGTTTATAAGCTGCAGTGCATTTGACCTCTCAGGGCCACCATACAAATCACATTTGTTTATAGCCAGTTATATTATGACCTGAGCTGGCCCTGCTGCCCAGTGCTTTACAAGTGCTGCAGAATAGGTTATATTTTGACTCCTTTTATAGTTTTGAAATCATGGCATTATCGCGGTCTATTTAGCCACACAATGGTTTGCTTTGTGCAATCACACGGGCAGTAGTGCATCTCTCTGTAACTTATGATACAATTTCACCCAGATTTCCTAATATAGACCCAAAATTACAAATGCCCACCAAGATTTACCATCTTTGTGCAACTTACACCTACTTTCATTAGATGAACCCTCCATTTAGCAATGCTTCTTTGCATTAGTTACAAGAAGGACAGAGGCCATCTAATGAGAAGGAAGGTCACAGATCGAGGCTAGACTACAATGAATATGTCCTCTCAGAGAGTGAGGAGGTTACCTTGCAAATAAATAAGAAGGTAATAGGGTTTGAAAATATTATGTTGATGCATTCTCACTGTGCATCTCTCATTTATGCACAAGACTTATGCAGAGCAACGTGACCGGCTGCAGACCACGCCCCCCGATGGCCTAAAATCGTTTGAGTAACATCAGCCAGTAACCACACATTCAATGAAACATCACAACGTTGGCTTATCGTGCTTTCTTTCCCAACATCTAAACCCGTTTTGTTCCCTTTTAGAGAGTTGGGCAAGACGGACCAAAAGCCTAAAAAAATATCCAATGATTGAAAAACGGCGAGTCAGGGTGTAAATGTCAGAGGTAAGGGTCTGACATGCAAGCGACCTCCTTCGTGCACTTTATCCAAAAGATCACCACGGTCAAGCAGGCTACCGGAGACAGCGCATGGAAATCCAGAGGGGGGATGGCGATACGTGCCAAAGGTTCACTGACTGCTTTGGACCTTATGGAACAGTCAAGTAGTTTTCCATAAACACAGTTTGAATGAACTGGGGCCAATATCAAGGCGCAGATACAGGCAGGAATGTCATTCAGGATTCAGCGCTGTCTCTCGGTTAACACTAGCACCCCCAGGCTTCTACCTTTTTTACCTATAAAACCCGAGAGCAGCCAAATGGCTGGTAGGCTTTTAGCTTCAGCCAAGTGGAAGCTAAATTGTCTAGTCATTCATATGTAAATTGGGTCGTTGAGTCGTTATCTGGGAATTCTGGAGGGAGGGGACTGTGATTGAGGGCCATCTAAGTTTGCCATCTTAGGGAGAAATGACACATGGGTATATGTCCTTTGTTGCTAAGATTTATTGATAAAAACAGTACAAAAAAAACCAACCATTTGTACACATATTTACAAATAATAATAAAAAGTGAGTGAGTACAAACAATTCAACATTTCCAGCAATCACTCACAATCCTGGCAC